CTGCCCTGGGGAGAGGGGGCTGCAGCCACCTGTATTACAACAGGTTCAGGGGCACTGCTCAGAGATCTCACCCTTAGAGACCGGGCTACTTACAGCCTGCCACAATCAGCACCAAACCAGTCACGCTCAGCACTGCTGTTTGCCACACTGGCCAGCAAGAAGTCACACAGCCAAGCCCCTTCGACACTCCAGTTCGATCTGTGCCACAGCCAGCCCCGCTCCTTACACACTATGAAAACCAGTCTCACCAAATCTGAACAGGTTCTCCCAGGCGCAAAGGACCAGCCACAGTCCCAGGTCAATTTAGACCTCAGGTCTTACCCCAAAGAGCTCACTGTGCCGCTCCTTCAGAATCTGACATCTAAAGGGTTATTAATAGAAAGAAAGAAAGAAGAGCTTGAGGTAAACATGTTAATGGAAACAAATCGCACACGTCAATCACAAAGTTCTGGTGCAACCACCACCAGGCAGATTTGAACCTAGAACTTCTGAAGCTTGGTAGAGGAGCCGCTACAGCTTGAGCTATCAAGCCAGCTGGCTGTAGGGGTCTCTTGTTCTTACCTGTTGCTGTGGTCTGCATGGGACAGTGAACCACGCTAGGTGTGTGGGTTGCACAGGCTTGCAGCAGAGATGGATAATCTGCTGTCTCTGGAACACATCCTCTGTCAGACTCAGTTCACGGCTGAGATGCTTCTGAAGGGAGGAGCTGGAGTGAAGACAAATGGAGGAGCCTCCAGGATCCTTATAGCCCCTTGCCCACGTGGAGGAAATCCTAAAATGGAGTTTGTCACGTGGCCAGTCCCCTGCCTGTGCCTGACTCAGGCCTTAGCAGCCCTCGCGCACGTGCTGGTCTGCAGGGCCACAGCAAAGTCCCTCAGATGTGGATTGGCACCACTTAAGGCCCCTTGTCAGGCGAGTACTCGGATTCACTGAGTAGCCGCCCTTCCACAGCGGGGGGGCAACCCTGTTGCTCTCTCCCACAAGCACTTGGAATAACAGCACAGAGCCAACACGTGTAACTCAGATACAGAAACCAGACAGGCCTGTGAGCAGTCGCCACAGAACCAGCAACGCATCCGCTTTCGGTAGACACCCCACTTGGCCAACTCTGCAACCTCGGGTACAGCCATTAACAATGGTTGCTACAATGTTTTGTGTGTTCATCTAAAAAATTCAGTAACGTCTGACCACCATACGGCCGGCCTCATGCAGTGTTGGCCACCTGGGCAGCTTTCCCCTGGCAGACCCCCTCTCTCACTCATGCAGGGTGAGTGCCAACCTGAGTGGTGTCCCAGCCATGCCTTCTGGGCAGGCCCGGTCTGGGAGGTTGGCTGGGGCAGGTTAAGGGGCCCTGGCAGACAGGTGCCGTGACTGTATCTCTGGGTGCATGGTGGGGTCCAGGGGTCTCAGAGGAGGCTGGGAGCTGAGGGCCTCTTGGGCTGGTGGTGAGAAGCAAAGCGGCTGGCAGAGAAAAGGAGGGTGTGGAGGTCACAGGCCCCAGGGCCTGCGTGAGTCCAAGGCCACTACCTCTTGGTTCCTTGGGTTTCCAATGTTCAAGCCCTTCTCAAGCTGGCTCTGACCCTTGTCAGTCCCAGCACCGCCCCTGGGCTGAGGGCTTGTGACAGGAGGGACGCTTGTTCCCCTCAGTGTGCCTGTCCTGCACAAGGTCTCAGCTGGTGTGGGAGTGGTGATGGCCTGCCTCCAGGAGCCAGGATTTCGCCAGGAGCCCCAGCGTAGCGAGAGGGGAAGGACGGGCATCTAACAAGCTGTTTCCTATCTCGCTCAGCCATCCAAGGAGCTGGACGACGACTCGCTTATCCCCAGCAGCCCCGCGACAGAGACCTCGGACAACATCAGCCCGGTGGCCAGTCCTGTGCACACAGGGTGAGTGCCCTGCTCCCGTGCCAAGCCCCTTCGACACTCCAGTTCGATCTGTGCCACAGCCAGCCCCGCTCCTTACACACTATGAAAACCAGTCTCACCAAATCTGAACAGGTTCTCCCAGGCGCAAAGGACCAGCCACAGTCCCAGGTCAATTTAGACCTCAGGTCTTACCCCAAAGAGCTCACTGTGCCGCTCCTTCAGAATCTGACATCTAAAGGGTTATTAATAGAAAGAAAGAAAGAAGAGCTTGAGGTAAACATGTTAATGGAAACAAATCGCACACGTCAATCACAAAGTTCTGGTGCAACCACCACCAGGCAGATTTGAACCTAGAACTTCTGAAGCTTGGTAGAGGAGCCGCTACAGCTTGAGCTATCAAGCCAGCTGGCTGTAGGGGTCTCTTGTTCTTACCTGTTGCTGTGGTCTGCATGGGACAGTGAACCACGCTAGGTGTGTGGGTTGCACAGGCTTGCAGCAGAGATGGATAATCTGCTGTCTCTGGAACACATCCTCTGTCAGACTCAGTTCACGGCTGAGATGCTTCTGAAGGGAGGAGCTGGAGTGAAGACAAATGGAGGAGCCTCCAGGATCCTTATAGCCCCTTGCCCACGTGGAGGAAATCCTAAAATGGAGTTTGTCACGTGGCCAGTCCCCTGCCTGTGCCTGACTCAGGCCTTAGCAGCCCTCGCGCACGTGCTGGTCTGCAGGGCCACAGCAAAGTCCCTCAGATGTGGATTGGCACCACTTAAGGCCCCTTGTCAGGCGAGTACTCGGATTCACTGAGTAGCCGCCCTTCCACAGCGGGGGGGCAACCCTGTTGCTCTCTCCCACAAGCACTTGGAATAACAGCACAGAGCCAACACGTGTAACTCAGATACAGAAACCAGACAGGCCTGTGAGCAGTCGCCACAGAACCAGCAACGCATCCGCTTTCGGTAGACACCCCACTTGGCCAACTCTGCAACCTCGGGTACAGCCATTAACAATGGTTGCTACAATGTTTTGTGTGTTCATCTAAAAAATTCAGTAACGTCTGACCACCATACGGCCGGCCTCATGCAGTGTTGGCCACCTGGGCAGCTTTCCCCTGGCAGACCCCCTCTCTCACTCATGCAGGGTGAGTGCCAACCTGAGTGGTGTCCCAGCCATGCCTTCTGGGCAGGCCCGGTCTGGGAGGTTGGCTGGGGCAGGTTAAGGGGCCCTGGCAGACAGGTGCCGTGACTGTATCTCTGGGTGCATGGTGGGGTCCAGGGGTCTCAGAGGAGGCTGGGAGCTGAGGGCCTCTTGGGCTGGTGGTGAGAAGCAAAGCGGCTGGCAGAGAAAAGGAGGGTGTGGAGGTCACAGGCCCCAGGGCCTGCGTGAGTCCAAGGCCACTACCTCTTGGTTCCTTGGGTTTCCAATGTTCAAGCCCTTCTCAAGCTGGCTCTGACCCTTGTCAGTCCCAGCACCGCCCCTGGGCTGAGGGCTTGTGACAGGAGGGACGCTTGTTCCCCTCAGTGTGCCTGTCCTGCACAAGGTCTCAGCTGGTGTGGGAGTGGTGATGGCCTGCCTCCAGGAGCCAGGATTTCGCCAGGAGCCCCAGCGTAGCGAGAGGGGAAGGACGGGCATCTAACAAGCTGTTTCCTATCTCGCTCAGCCATCCAAGGAGCTGGACGACGACTCGCTTATCCCCAGCAGCCCCGCGACAGAGACCTCGGACAACATCAGCCCGGTGGCCAGTCCTGTGCACACAGGGTGAGTGCCCTGCTCCCGTACACGCCCGCAGGCCCGGCCTGCCGGGAGCCTCGTGGGGACACCAGCCTGTGTCTGCCCTGGCAGGTTCCTGGTGAGCTTCATGGTGGCTGCCCGGCGC